TTATTAATAGCACTTCAAGTTAATAAAAGGAAAAAATTTATAAGTATCACCCTAAAGGACTATTATAAGAAAAAGGGCATATCTATTAGCCTCTTTATACCTTATACCTCTAAGTATAATAGGTATACAAAGCAAGTATAAAGAACTATTTATATAATAAAGGACTTAATACTAATTAATAGTAATCTGTTAAACCACTTTTAGGTAAGGGCTATAAATACTACTAATTATATCTAAAATTAACTACTAGCAAGAGAAATTAAGATAACTCTTAAGCAGGCTTAGACTAGCCAGATACCCTATCTTAGTCATTTATAAATATTTAGTAGTACGAAGTCTGATATCAAGAGGACCTAGACAGGCATTCTGATAGGGTACATGCTAATAACGAAGCAGATTTGTATATAGAGTCTTACTCAGCAAAACGCCTATACTATCTTAGTATACACTATTAACAAAAGCTGTAAGAGAGCTAACCTCCTTATATAGCACCCTCTACCTCCTCTTATGAATACCTTATAAAGGGTATATATAGAGAGGGCATAGCTAGATATATTAAGAAAGAGAGGTAAGCCCTGAAAGCAAGCTAACAATGTCATAGATCTAGATAACCCCTTGCCTGTATAGGCAGGAGATTTAATTAAATATTTTGAACAAGACAAGTCTAAGAGAATTAGACTAAGTGAGTTAAGTATATAGCTAGTAAGAGAACCGTCTGTTATAAAGCGGCATAAGATAAGCGAGCGATAGCTGTAACAGCTCCTTAGTCAGGCAAATAAGTCGGGCACTACAAGTCAAAAGAGGACCTCTGTAAAGGTTACAAAAGATCCTGCTGTATTAAAATGATTCGCCCCTGTAAAAGACGTAATAAGAGGCACTTACAGAGCTTAAGACGCTATAGCTGCTACAGGAACAGGAGTCACCTTGGCGTTAAAAGGAGTACAGTTAGGTAAGAGTCCTAGTATACTTGCAGGAGGAAAGATAGCACAACTAGACTATAACAAAGCAGTATAGTTAGGTAAGAGTCCTAGTATACTTAAAGCTATTAGAGAAGTAGTAAGTACCCTAGCGTAAGAGAAAGTTTACTATTAGTATATAGAAATAATATAATTAGGTACAAGTCCTAATACATCTGCAGATAAAGAATAAGTAGTATAGTCAGGTATAAGTCCTAGTATGCTTAAAGTCAAAAAAGAAGTAATATATTTAAGTAAGCGTCCTAGTATATTTGTAAGGGCTATAAAGGCAAAGCAGCCTAATTACTTTAAAGACTTAAATAAGGCAACTAGAAAGACTATTAATATAGTAGACACTAGTAAGTACCCTAGCGTAAGAGAAAGTTTACTATTAGTATATAGAAATAAGGGCTACTTAAGGCTAGATAAGCTAAGGACCTATATATAAGCAGTGACAGACCCTGTATATAGTAGGTAATAAAGAGACGTAGTTAATAAAGAACTGTAGAACCTGAGCACCTACCAAGCCTAGAGAATTAAGAGGCTACTTAAGGACTAGAAGTTAATAGAGTACAAATAGATGTTTAAGATTAAGAGAGATAAAAATGGCTAGCTAGCAAGATATAAGGCACGGCTTATAGCATAAGGCTTCTTACAGATTTATAAGATTAATTATAAAGAGACGTTTACTCTTATTATTAGAAGAGAGTCCCTTAGAATGTTTCTCGCTATTGTTATAGTAAGAGATATAGAACTATATTAGATAAATATAGTTGCTACCTATCTAGCTAGCGAGTTAGGAAAAGAAGATAAGCAGATATTTATATAGATTCCTAAAGAAGTATCACTTAAGGAAGGGCTAAATAAAGACTAATAAGTATGCAGAATTATTAAGAGCCTATATAGACTTAAGTAATCTATAAGGAAGTAGAAAAAAAAGCTTATAAGCGTCTTAAGAACTAATAAATACAGCATATTAAACAGAGATCTAAGCATATTAATATCTAGTGATAAAAGAACAATTATTAGTATATATGTAGATGACCTGCTGCTGACAGCAAAGGATCTAAAAGCCATCCGCTAAATTAAAGCCCTTTTCTAGTAAAACTTTGATACAAAGGACCTAAGAGAAGCAAGGATGATTATAAGGATAAGGATCAGAAAAGACAGAGTTTACTAATAGTTATAGATTAATTAGACTATTTATTTAAGAGAGATTCTTGTTATAGAGGGCATAACAGACTATAATGCTATAGTTATACTAATAAAGCCTGATATATTTATAGCTTTAGATAAAGAAGAAGATATAAAAGAGACTAATATTTAAGTGTATTAAATACTAATTAAGAAGTTACTATATCTAGTATATAATATAAGGCCAGATATTAGTTTCTATATTAGCTATTTAAGTTAATAATATATAAATTTATATATAGGGCACCTTAAGACTATAAGAAAGGTCTTATAATATTTTAAAAGGATACCAGATATAGGTCTTAAATTCAAAGTTAACTATATTATATAAAACATGTTATAAAGGGAGCTATAATTATATAGATATACAGATGCTAGTTTCACAGAAGATTTAGACAACAAAAAGTCGATAACTAGCTATTTATTCCTATTAAATAGCGCAGCTATCTCTTAGACATCTAAAAGGCAAAGGATAATATTAATATCTAGCATAGAAGCAGAGTACCTAGCTATAGAAGCAGTAGTAAGACAGGCTATATAGATTTGACGCCTTCTTAACGAATTCAGCGCAGAGTAAGCGACAGTAACCCTCTACAGAGACAACAAAGACTGTTTGAAGCTGATACGGAACCCTGAGCAGCATGATCGAACGAAGCACATTGATATCCAGCATCACTACGTGCGGCAGCTGGAAGAAGAAGAAGAAATTCAGACCTCCTAGGTATCAACGAAGGATATGTGGACGCGTTCCTAGATGGAAAGAACTGCGAGGATGAAGATTTTCCAGTCCGATTGGCGCACGCGCAGGGCAACAGGCGGACCGCAGGCAGGAGTGCAGGAGCAGGCGCGCCGCAGACAGATATTTAGACAGAGGGACAGTGCGAAGCAGCTGCTTGCAACAGCGCAACCTGTTGCTTGTGGTGCGTGCAGCTTAGGCAGCAGGTGGAGTGTTGAATTGCTGCCAAGCCGCTAGCATACTAGTGGTCACATGACTTGAGGCTATGTCTGTTTGGGCCTAGCGTCACTTACCAGCTACCGAGTAAGATTGCACTTGAACTTCGGATAAAAGTTGGATTTAACTTCTGAACGGTTCACTATATTAATTAGTTGATTAAGTGTAGACATTTATAGATAGCAGAAGCAGTTTAGCGTTACTTTTAACAAATAAGACTTTAAAGAATATTATAATTATTAAGATAAGAAAAAGGTTAATAGCTTTTTTAAATAAGATAACTATTTAATAACTTTAAAATATATTAATTTTATATTTATATTCTGCCTTAATTATAGAGTTATTATATATATATATATAAGGCGCCTTATTCTTTTACTTACTAAATATAAGGATCTTGCTTATTTAAATTTAAAGGTCTAAATCTCCTTATCTTTTTTAACCTTATTAGAGGCATAGAGGGTGTCAGAGAGGCTTACTTTAAACTTAAGTCTGACCTTAAATGTCAACACTAACCCAGAATGAGCTGGCGACGGGTCTAGAGATACATATCTCTTACAGTCAATAGTTTAACAACCGTTTCCAGTCAAAGGGCAGTCTTAGGATAATGTCACGTGTCACGTTGGAAGCAGGCGACGAGTGCGCAAGATCTTCAGCCCATGTTGAGTGCTATCCTAAGACTGCAGAGCCGACGAGGATGGCATTAGGGTCGCTCCTATATAGCGAGCATGCCCCTTACTAACGCGTAGTGCCAATCAATACCCGGCGGCCCTAGCGCTAGCGGCCGACAAGCATGGCAGCCGTGACAACTTTAAGTCTTAACAGAATCTTATTTAATATTAGTTTATTATCTATAGCAAAGATGTTCCCTCTTATCACTAACGCCTTTCACTCGCGTACAAACTTCTAAGGGGACAAGCACAGAGGTGTCCTATTGATCACGTAAGTCACTTCCACATCCACCAGCTGCAGGGCCGGTTTCAGGTCCGATTATGAGTCGGATACTTGATCATCAGATGGTTTTGATAACCCAATTCCTCTGTCGAGGTGGTGTTTTAGTTCCGACCGATCGTGACGCGTACGTTAATCGACGGCGTTTCGCTATCAACCACCACGAATTCATTAGCTTCTTCATTATATATCATATTATTAAATAGAATTTTAAGAGTTAGCTCTACTTCTATACTAGCTTTAGTATAAAGAAACAGCTTATTTAAGCTAACTATATAATTATTCTAGAGCAAATTGTTGCTCCTGAATAAGATAAGAATCACGTTTTAGTCAAAGATAATAATGGGCCTTATAATACTAAGGGCAAAGGTCTTAACAAAGTTAAAGCACTTAAGAACCTTCTAGGGATCAAATAGGATATGAACCCTGCTAATTCGCCAGATCTCAATCCTATTGAGACTATCTGGAGGATAATAAAGCAGCGCTTGAAGTCCAGGGGGGTTATCTTTGAAGAAGCTGTGCTGCGTCAAGCTATCCAGGAGGAGTGGGATAAAATAACCATTGAGGAGATTAATAGGGCTATCTCAACAATGCCAGATAGAGTAGCTGCCCTAAACGAGCGAAATATCTTCGAAGAAGCTATGCTGCGTCAAGCTATCCAGGAGGAGTGGGATAAAATAACCATTGAGGAGATTAATAAGGCTATCTCAACAATGCCAGATAGAGTAGCTGCCCTAAACGAGCGAAATGGGCGCCCTATCCCCTATTAAATAGCTTTGTAGCATAGCAGGAATCTGAGAAGTCTCATAAATTTTGGCGCCAAGCTTCGGGCCCAGACCGGTGGTGAGCTCGGGGCAGATTTTTCTTTACTTGGCATTGGATGCGGAGAAATTTTGACTGTCCATGCAACAACTCTGTTCTGTGATCTGGCGAAAACAAGTCCAACAATGGCATATGGAAGGCCAGCGAAGAGGCGGAGATTGAGTCCGCCAACCGATCTCAAGTCCGTCTCAGGAACGATAAAGTCGATCGATTTATTCCATCGAGCGGCGGAGTGGGATCTTGAACAAGACTATGAACAACGGTCGAGGTTGAACAAGCAGAGGGAGACCACAAAATTACCAATCAAGACTGCAGAGGGCAGATTAGAGCGTCAACAAGAGATACCTTCACAAGATGACGAGTCAGATAGCTATCTAGGCACCGGTAGCGAAGCAGATCAAGGTGGAGCGGACACTCCGCCAACAGAGGAAGCCGAAGAGCCATCACATGTCCCGTTAAAACACCAACTTGTGGCAGCAAAGGAGGAATTGGCAAGGATTGCAGGGCTGATGAATGAGGATCCCGAAGAGCACATTGGCTCTTTTAAGAAGCTGGCCGCAGTCGCCGGCTCTACGGCTCACCCCAATGTCAAGAAACTGGCACTGGCTACTCAGTTGGCGGTCTACAAAGACGTCATACCTGGCTACCGAATCCGGGAATACAAAGATGAGGACCTTGGAACAAAAGTGTCGAAAGAGGTCCGACAGACAAGGCAGTACGAACAAGCTTTGGTTACAGGATACAGGCGATATGTTGAGGAGCTTGCTGCAATTACCAAAGCCGGCGCGGGTACAGAAGAGACATCCGGTTTGAAGCTTGTGGCCATCAACTGCGCATGTGCTCTCCTGCTTGCAGTTCCCCATTTTAATTTCCGTGCCGAGTTGCTCAGGATAGTGGTTGATCAGCTGTCAAGTCGCCTTCCCACCCCTTACTTCGCGAAGTGTATCCAGACTCTCGAGGACTTTTTCGACGCCGACGATGATGGTGCTCCATCGCTCGAAGCAGTGGGTCTTCTCACAAAGATGATGAAGGCCAAGGACTATCGCATAAGAGAAAATGTTCTGAGTACTCTCTTTCATTTGAGGCTGTTGTCCGAGCTCTCTGTTAAAAGCTCCACGTCGAAGACAGACCAACTTGACGAGATTCCCATATATCGCGGAAAGAAAACGAAAGCCAAATGGCAACCTAGGTCCAAGAAGGAGCGAAAGCTTGCCCGAGAACGCAAAGCGGTCGAGAAGGACATGAAGGAAGCAGATGCAACTGTGACCCATGAAGACCGAAGTAGAATGCAATCTGAAACTTTGAAAATGGTTTTCACTGCCTACTTTCGCATCCTCAAGCTGGGTACTCCTCACCTTATGGGTGTCGTACTTGAGGGGCTTGCTAAATTTGCACATCTTATCAACCAAGAATTCTTTGGCGACCTACTAGAGGCCCTCAAGGACATCGTGAATGAATCTTCCGTTATTGACGAGGAGGCACTTGAAACTAAGGACAACGAGGATATTTTCGAGGAAATACCCAGCACCCGGAACATCACTCGCGAATCACTTCTGTCCATACAAACTGCGTTTACCTTGCTCGCCGGCCAAGATGTGTCTAAATCTGCCTCTGCGCTGCATTTAGACCTTTCTTTCTTCTCATCTTACATATACAAAACACTCTATCAGTTATCTTTGGACGCAGATATCGAACTCGGGCCAAAATCCTTACACCTGTCAGATCCTCACCCGTCTTCCAAAGCTAATTCGGATCACCAGTCTCGGAACAAGGTCAATGTTTCGACCCCAATGCTGCTACTGGTACGAGTTCTGACGTCGATCTTGCTGACTCCTTCAGCGCCTCCACCAACCATGACTGCTGTAGCATTTTACAAGAGATTGCTCACGACGTCTTTGCAATTACCAGAGAAATCGAGCGTGGCACTTATGTCGCTTCTTTCAGAAGTCGCCCAGAAACATGGTCGCAAGATCGAAGCCTTATGGTACAGTGACGAGCGAAAAGGTGATGGCAGTTTCCAGGGTCATAGCGAGAGTATAGAAAACACCAACGTGCTTGCGCTCGGAAGCGGTATCTGGGAGACAGAGCTACTGAGGCATCACTTCTCGCCACGGGTGAGAAAAGAGGTGGCTGATATTGACAAGCTTATCCGGGGGCTGAACAGATAATCACAAGTAAGCATGACACGAACGCCCGACCAGAACCCTACTAGTCTCATCGATCGTCGCGTGAAACCGTAGTTTCACCACTGCTAGGACTACTAGCAGAGAACATAACTGTTAGCAGTTACCATATACTCCTGCTCCTGCGCCAGCCCGACGCCTTACCCTTCTGCTTGCTTTTTCGCAAAGTCCCAGGCACCCAAGCAAGACCATAAGCTCCCAGTCCTCGCCGAGATCAGCCTTCAGCTGCAACTTCCCCTTCTTGCTCCAACTCTTCAAGTTGTCGAGGTACACTCCTAGTACCTCGCCTGTTTTCTCGTCTACAAGCTTGTAGTTCCAATTGATCAGCTTTCCAATTCCTTGCACGCCGTCGGCAGAGTCCCGGGTGCGTTGCCAAAGGAAGGATCTTCGCTCGTTGTTGACCGTCATCTCGAAGCAATACTTAGAATGGCCAAGACCCCAACTTATATTCTTCATGTTCTCCCAAACCGTATCCTTCTCGTTGGTATCTGGGTCGCCCAGGCCAAGCTTAAGGTCTGAGGACAAGCGAAACCGTGCAACACCGACAATGGGGGCGTGCTTGTCTATTCCTTGACGCAAGACAACATCTGGAGCAGATGTAAATTCGTGGATCTGGGCGAAGTAGATGATATTCTTTTGCTCATCGCAGATTTTCAGGTCGAGTTTTCGGGTGAGATAGAAGCCATATGTCTTGAGGTGAGGGGTGGATTTGGACATGGCGTTTTCCAAGACACATTGTGAACGTACCGTGGAGGACTCGGACTCTCTACGGGTGGGAGTAGGTAGCTTGAGCTTGTATTCGTCGTCGCTGTCGTATGGTTTGAGCTTTTCGTCCATCGTGGATCTGGTGTCTACAGGAAAGCCTGCCTGACGGAGAGACCTGACATGAACTGTAATTATATACTTGTTCTGCGTCGTATGCCGACCCCTTCGTATTCAAAAGAACATTTTGGCCTTCTATCCATGGTGGTGAAAAGCTGCCTCGGCTATCTTGGTTGGCTAACGTGGCTGACGGAAAGTGGTGGATAGCTGTGTCGATCTCCCCCCACGACTAAGCCTTGCCACGCGTTACTGGTTGAAGTAAGTCAAGGCTCTTATGGACCTGCAAGCCTCTTGCACTTTGCTCTATCCAGCCATTCCTCACGTATCGCAATCGACGTATCTCTCGGGAACCTAATTGGTGGTAGGCCTTTGCACGAGAATGTCCAACGTGCTTTCGATTGCACCCTTGCCGACGCCTCCAACTGGGACGTCACAGTTCATTGGCGGCTCATATGCGGGGTTTGGTATTGAACCATCCAACCTCTACTCTTACACTGGAGGCTCTGTCACCAATACCTTGTCGGTGAATCTGCTAAACAACTTGGCGAATTATACTGGAGCACCGCCACATCTGCGCATTGGTGGCAATACAGCTGATTACATGATCTATGTCGCTTCACACGATAGCTACGATGTCAGCCCCAACCCCGACGCGGTTGGCCAAGGCAGATTTGCCACTGACAGCTTGATATTCGGCCCTCGATATTTCGAAGTTCTCGACAGATTCCCTCCGGGGAGTCCGATCACGTTCGGCCTCAACCTTGCCTACAGCGAGTCGGACTACCTTGATCAAATTGTCTCGTCGGCTGATGCAGCAAGGACTGGCTTGAAGAACGTGGACCTGGTCTCCTTTGAGATTGGCAACGAGCCGGATCTGTATCTTCAGAATGAATTTCGCAGCGGTCAGTGGGATGGCGAGGTCTATACCGACCAATGGTTAGATCGGGCCAGCGCTGTGTATCAACGAGTTCTGGAGCCAAATGGCATTCCAAGCAACTTCTTTGAGCCAGGGTGTACCGCTTCAACGATTGGAAATAACTTTCGGATCGAGGACCTGGTCAGCTTTGGCATTGCTGAGACGAATGGTTCCGCCAATTCTTTCATCAGTTCATGGAATCAACACGACTACTATTACTACATCGGAGTGTCGTCATACGAACTAACCATGGAGCGCTTTACCGATTTCTCGACAACCATAACCCAGTTCCGCGATTGGACGCTCCAGGTGCAGCAGGCGACGGACACTGGATATCCTTACTTGCTCAGGGAGATGGGAGTGGTAGGGCCAATTGGCTATGCCGGAATCACAGATACCTTCGCCGCTGCCCTCTGGACCTTGAACTTCTTCCTGTATGCGGCTGGGCTAAACATATCATCAGTGCAGATGCACATGACGGACAATAGCAACGCCAGTGCGTGGCAGCCCATACCTTTCTATGGCAAGCAACCCTATATCCGCCCTGTCTACTATGGTTATGCAGCCATGGCACAACTCATTGGACGAGGTTGCTCTACCCAGGTGATAGGGATACCGTTTGAGACATTCCCAGCGGGATACGAAGACCGCATCGGAGTTTACACGACGTATCAAGAGAGCAAGTTGGCTGCTTTGGTCTTCATCAACAGCTTCGTTGCCAATGCTTCCGATGACAAGGGGAGCCTCACCATCGATGTTTCATTGCCGGACTTCTCTGGTCAGACGCTCTATTTGTCCTATCTGACAGCAGAAGGCGCCGACTCCACCCAGGGTACCACTTGGAATGGCATCAGCTATGATGTCAGCGGTGATGGCTCACCTACCATAGTCAGCTCTGACACACGGAATATCACTGTCGGCAGCGATGGAAGAGTGTCTGTCGAGGTGAGAGACAGCCAGGCAGTGGTGGCGAACATTGGTTCGGTCATTGGCTCCGCACCTGCTCCAGCGGACAGGGTCTGTGAAGCTGTGACCATGGCTGAGGTCACACCAACGAGCTTTTCCATATCAGCCGCGACATCCATACCGGCATCTTCAACCCCATCTTCGAGATCTGAGAGTGGAGCCATAAGCATGCCCTGGAGCTTTCTTCTCCTTGGTCTCCTTGCGTTGCCGGTACTGGAATTTTTCCCTTGATGCATCTGAAAGGGCGTGAACAGAGTCATACAATCCCAGCGGACATTGGCTTCTAGAAATGTGTTATCAGGGGCCACCTTATCAGAGCTATATCGCATGTGGACGACGCCGCAATAATTGAATTAGCTTTGCATGGCATGGTCTGACTTGAGAACGGAAATGGTGCGAAATGTATCTCTTGAGCCCCCCTGTATCGGGCTTCAACGTGTACATAGCTTGAAGGATAGAATAATACTCCGTAGAGTGTTCCTCTCAGACATTTCGTAGCCAACATTGGAGGAGACGCGTCTGACGCGACTTTCGTGATTAAGCCGGAAACGGAAAGGACAGTTTTGCAATGTGGCAGCCACGAGAAACCACCGAGAATTAGAGGCCAGGAAGCGGAAAGGAAAGGAAAGGCAATTTGATGTCAAATTTGTCAAATTTGTCAAATTCCCGTGGTACAGCCAATCACCAACCAACGCGACGAGTGCCACAAGATGTCAGAGACACCATCAGATCCAGCTGCTACTCGTACTGGGCGCCGCCGCTCGTCCGTAGTCTACGATCCGGCAAGGGACGTCTTTCAGCCAGCCCCAGACTCTCTTCCCACCGTGACCGAGGAGAGGGTGCAGGCTGCTGCAAATGGAGGGGTATCACTGTTCTGCTTCTATGCAGATGGTCTCTAGCGACTGAATTTCTTCATAGGCCCCTGAGCAAGGTCTCGACCATAAACCTCACTCCGACTCCATCCCAAGAATACCGCTGTCAACCATGACACCCGAGATTGGCAAGAAGCGCCAACGCTCCCCATCTCCAACGTCGAGACAAGCAAGCTCAGATGACAGGCCTTTATCACCACCGCCGGAGAAGAAGAGGCGTTCGTCTATCACTGAGCAGTCACTTCCTTCTGGCTCATCAAGGATACCTTCACCTCCTGCGCAGAAATTGTCTGAGCCTTCCCTTACGAACTCTACTCACGCGTTAAAACCGCATGTTGATGCCAAAGTTTCTGTAGATCATTCGACAAGCTCAAGTACACTCCGTCAAGATGGGCAGATGTCTTCACAAGGTGGCAGATCTCCTCAGTCGAGAAGCATCCATCCTCTGCACACAGACCGCAGTCACATCGATGAAAAAGATGATAATCGCAACGATGGCAGTAGCCAACGCCGTCGCTCACCTCAACGTCGCCGTAATGGCGAGCGTTATAGCCCCGCTCCTCGCCGCTCACGAACCCGCTCTCCCATCCGCAGACGATCACCAAAATCTAACACCCGTTCTGTTTATGGACGCCGTGACCCGCCACCGGCTCCCCGTCGCTCTCGCTCCCCATCTCCTATCCGACGCTCGCCTCCCAGGGAAGAACAACCAATGCGCCGACCAGGCGGCGGGACCGGTCGAGGCCGCAATGTGCTAGCAATCGCCCAGCGACTAGCTGAAGAACGTGAACGTCAAGAGGAAGCCCAGAACGCGCAGATACAGCGCGACCGCGGTGTTCAGCAAATGTCGAATCAATTCTACAATGCCCGACCAGAGTGGGTGAAGGAGCGGGGCAGAGATTGGCGGAAGAATGAATCGAAGATCAAGGGACTCCGGAGCTTCAACAATTGGATCAAGAGCTGTATTATCCAGAAGTTCTCTCCTGAAGAAGCACCGCAAGTCGAGGAGTTGGGGTGGGGAGAAGAGCCCACGGCGCCCGCTGAGCGAAAGCCGTTATTAGTGTTGGATCTTGGATGCGGTAAAGGTGGAGACTTGGGGAAATGGCAACTTGCACCTCAAACTGTTGGCCTTTACGTAGGGCTAGATCCAGCGCATCAGAGCATCAGGCAGGCACACGAACGGTACAATGAGATGCGGCGGCGCAGAAAACCCATTTTCGATGCAAGATTTCACGTCAAAGACTGTTTCGGAGAGTGGGTTGGAGAGATCCCCATTGTCAAAGAAGTGGGCATCGACCCGAACGCTGGACATGGTGGCCCGAGCAAATGGTCTGGCGGTGGCTTCGATGTCGTCACCATGATGTTCAGTATGCATTACGCATTTGAAAGCGAGCAGAAAGCCCGCATGATGCTACGGAACGTTGCGGGAGCGCTGAAGAAGGGCGGACGCTTCATTGGCGTCGTGCCCAACAGCGACGCCATCGCCGAGCAGGTGGTCAAATGGTGTAGAGCCAACAAGGACAAGAAGCATGGGGGTGCTGAAGTCACGCATGGTGAAGCGAACCCCAACTCAACTCCAGCACCAAACGGTCAAGAAGCCACCAAACCCGATCAACAAACCGACGAATCCTTCAACTCACCCCCCCACTGGGGCAACTCCCTCTACTCCGTCCGCTTCGGCACCGACCGTCCCGTCCCCCAGGACGGTGTCTTCCGCGACCCTCCATTCGGCTGGAAATACATGTACTGGATGGAAGAAGCGGTTGATGTGCCCGAGTACGTGGTCCCCTGGGAAGCGTTCCGCGCTGTTGCGGAGGGTTTCAATCTCGAACAGCGGTATCGGAAGCCGTTCTTGGAGGTGTGGGAGGCGGAAAGCCGGGATAGAGAGCTGAGAGAGCTGGCGGGCAGGATGGGCGTGCTTGATCGGGAGGGGAATCTTGGGATTACTGGCGAGGAGAGGGAGGCGGTGGCTTTTTATCATGCTTTTTGTTTTGTGAAGGTTTGATACCTTGGGGGTGGGTACCCTGTTTTGGGTGGGGAAAAATGGATGAATCGATGCATGAGCTACGGAGCGCTGCTTCTTATCTTCCAATTGCACGCATAGGTGGTGAGAATGATGAGGCCGGCAGAGAATCCAATCACGATATCTTCTTCTTCTATCATCATCCGGGAGATTGATTCATCTAAAAACTTACTTATCCATCACACGCGAATCAAGGATTTGAGACCGGTCTCCCAGTTCCTCCTTTTTGAATCGACCACAGCCAGCAGTGCTCGGATCCTCACTCTGCGGGACTCTGTACACCCCCTCTGTATCGCTCGATGCGAATTTGCAAAGAGACGTCGATGTCCTTGCCTCGCTCCTTCCGCTATCCACTAACTACTCTAACTACGAGATATCTTCGATCAAAACTTCTTTCCCCTCCTCTCTGGGTTCTTTTCCCAGGGCAGGGGAGGATGGGGTTGTTCTGCTGTTGCTACTGCTGCTGCTGCCTGATTTCGGGGAACTGTCGTTACTACTACGATGGTGTTACGGTGATCGGGCTGTCGTTCTACTTAGCTGGAGAAGGGGGGCCCTTCGGAAAAATGACACCATGTTCGTTCATTCTTGACAAAAATACAATTCACAGACGTTCTGTCATCACGGAGGCCTGTCTGAGGGCGATCACAGATTGAGCATGGTCTGACTGTCGTATAATTTGTTTTTTTTGGGGTGGGGGTGGGCAAGTCGGGGGGAAAGACGTCTGATATGATATAAATTTCATTAGATTTCAACATATAGACCCAAATCATATATGATTGGGCCGAGGCCCCATCGAGACAATTGGTGTCGTTCTTGGCACAGCACGAGATAGCGAAATAAATGAGAATTATGACGCGGCGGAGTACACTGCAGACCATGCCAGCTAATCTGTCATCAAAAATCATGCCAAGAGCGACACCAATTTGTTATGGATGGGCCTTGGGGTTAAGGGAAGCACAAATTAGTAATAATTTTTGATATCACTTTACAGGGTCTCTTCCTGTTTTACCTGTCAAGTACTTTCCAGCCCGAAGGTGGTGGAGTGCCCCGTATATAGCGGTGCGCCTCGATACGTGTCTATGTTTCCCACTTTCTCGCCCAAAGGTGAGGAGGGTGTCCCCTATGGATAGATAGATGGGGCCTCGATTCACGTCCATGCAGTTGCGAACTCAACCGTTCAACCACGGACTGGTCCTGGGATGGGAGCATCAGTGGCTGATAGGTCGTGCCCGCCTCCAATACCATTGTTGTTCGGCCCCATTCCATCGGATGCTTCCAACATGTCCCGCGGGTTGTGGACGCTGTAGGCAGCATGGGCAGCTTGAGAGAGATGTCCTAAAGCACCCAACGTTAAGTCTGAACCTGCAATGCTGCATCACCAGCTGCCGTACTGCCTGAAGGGCGCTTGCTCTTCTGACTTTGCCGATATCTTGATATTCAACCAGTCGTTGTCTTATGGCTTGCTTCGGTGTGCCGGCGCAGCGGAAGTTGACTTTCTATCGAGAGATGACACGATCGCGCCCATCAAGCAGCCTTCTCCATGATCCTCGGACCCAAGGCATAGTGTTTTAGTGCGGAAGGCTGGCCATCGAGCCTAGACTATACCTCCGCAGACGGACACACTCTACTCAGGCGTGTACCAGGACCGTGACTGCCAGATCGCGTAATAATTGTGTGGACGGCGTTGACTACATTTTTGCGCGGGCGCTTCTTGTAGGGAGACCTGCTTGTTGGACACCATGTGGAAACAGGCCGTGGTTCCTCAAGGATTGCCATCTGTTTTGCTGGATTGGACGCCCAATGCCTCCATTCTCTCGATGAGTTCGGGGACACGAAATGGCTTCGACAAGACATCGTCCTACATACCAGTTCAGCAATAAATCCGGATTGGTATTTGGGACAAGGGATGACTGACCACGCCAGCTTCGCGTGCGATCACCACCTGCTCTGCTCTTGCGTTGGCCGTGATGGCAACCACGTTCAAGTGCTGCGAGAGCAGGCCCTGCTGTTCCAGCTCTCTAATCTTCTTGGTGCAAGTCAGTCCATCCATGACCGGCATTTCAATGTCCATCAAAACGACGTCAAGGTCCGTACCAGGCCCCTGTCGATTGGCAGCATCCCATGCAGTTGATTTTCGCAGGTATTCAAGCGCTTCGATTCCGTGATTGGCGACGTCTACCGTGCAGCCTGCCTTTGTCAATTGCTTTCTGAGCACTTTCTGGTTGACGAGATTATCTTCCACAAGGAGGATATGAAACTTGGCTAGGGGTTCTTTTGACGGCTTTTCCTCGTCTTTGCTGACTCCTCTAGCCTGAACCGCCTTGCCCATGCTGCTGCTTCTACGATGAACACGGAAAGATAACAGGTCTTCTGTAGATGCATTCTTCACTGCTGAACTCTCCGGCCCAGATAGTGTAATACCTGATGTCGGTGCTCTTCTTGCTTTGATGTAGTAGGCAAACGTGGATCCTTCCCCCTTTCTCGATTCAACCCCAATTTCGCCACCCTGCATTTCGCTCAATTCACGAGAGATGAAGAGTCCCAGGCCAGAACCGCCGTACTGCACATGCGTTCGTGGACTTGCCTGTGCAAATCTGTTAAACAGTCGTGTAGTCTCGTCCTGCTCTAGCCCCCGGCCAGTATCGGTCACCGCGAAATAAACATATAAAGACTCACCAAAGCCCCATTCGGGATGGACAGTCAAGTCTGGTCGTGATTTGCCTGTTGGAAACCATTGAATGTTTCTACCCACGGCTTTGGGACGATGGGAAGCTGAAGCACCGAAGTGGATCGTTATGCTTCGCTTTGGCTCGGTTCTTGTAAATTTGATGGCCTATGCCCGGAGGCGTCAGTCAACGGCGGCATCGTTAAAACGAGCAGCTTTTAGTAAGCAGTGGGACAGGCAAATTCAATGTAGGGATTCGTTTATGTACTACCGCTGTACGACATGTAGACCGAGTTCGGACCAATAGGCCGCCTAGTAGCATGGTGAAAGACAGGAATGCGAGCGTGGAAGACGATCAGACACTTACATTTGTGAGTAGATTTACAAAGATTTGGGTGAGCCTCGTCGGATCGCAGTACACCCAGTCGAAATCCACATCGTCTTCAAGTCGTTCGGCCATTGTATCAACGTGAATATCGTTCGATAAGAATTCGGCCTCGAACATCCTCAGAGCTGCCAGCACAACCGCCGAAGGTTGAACAGGGACGGGCGTTATTGACAGAAGCATCGAGTCAAGCTTGGATAGCGTCAAAATATCATCCACGATGCGGCGCTGGTGAGCGCAACACATAAGAATGGTTCGGGCTGCCTCAGTATTGTCTTCAATTATGTCTTGAAGTCGACCGGGCTGTGTCCCATGCAAAGCTGATTTGTACTCCGCAATTGAAGAACAGATGCCATCCGCGCACTGCGTGATAGCAGAAAGAGGGTTCCGCATTTCGTGACTTGTGAAATCAATGAATTCTTCTTGCAGTCTTTTAGCTTTTTTAGCCGCCTCCGCAGAGCGTGCCTGGACAAGCTCGGCCCATTTGAATTGGCTGATGTCTGTAATGCATGCGAAGAGTCCTTTTGTTACGCCACTTTCCACGTTTGGATACACATTGCCCAATATCCAGGTATGTTCTAGATCGGGACCATTGAACATAGACGGTGGAGGGCGGAATTTCTTTTTGAGGCGGACAGCCACAGAAACCACCTTTTGCTCGTCGAAGGCCTTCGAACATGCTGCCGCGCCTTTCTCTTGATCTGTTGCCTGGTCAACCCAGGAATCATAGTCTCGATAGGAGACGGGAAGGGATTAAGATCTTGCCTACCCTCCTCATGCACAGCATCAATGAACGACTTCTCATAGAGTGCTGCAAATTAGGAGCATTGTCAGCCCCGTGCTAACTTGAAGGATGTCACCATTGTACCTTTGGGGTTTGTGGGATGTCCAGTAATATCGTAGTATTGAGGATTAGCCCACGCCAGCATGCCCTCTGCACTGATGTCTATCATGCCCACGGGCGCGACTTCTGCCATCTTGCGAATACGTCTCTCGCTGTCAGCCAACTCTTGCGATAGCCGAGCCTCCCGCTTCTGAGCTTGGTCGAAACTCAGAGCCGAAGCCAATACTGCTGTTAGCTGTCGACTAAGCTCCTGTACGAATTGATGGTGGTCTTTATCGAAAGCTCTTCGAGGGTTTAGCCCAACAATTAAGAAGCCAAGAAGATAGTCTTCACTCGCTAGCAGCGGAATCGCTGCAACATCTGTACATGGCTCGCCAAATCCTCGCCACGAGAAGCCTTCTAGAAGGGTGTCTGACAAATTACTATCTTCCCTACGCAAGACAACTGGCTCACAGGATATTTTGACTCTCCTGAGCGTCGGGAAAAACCCGTTGGATGCTCTTTGCAGATCAGCTTCCTGTGGTGCAGCGACATGATCGGGAGGGACGCCCAAAGTGCCTTGTAGTTTCAGGGTGCTCGGACTGGAAGTGACATCTAAGCTTTCTTCAAAGGCGTATAAAATAGCCATGGGAGCGTCTTTCTCATTCATCTCGAGAACACCCAGTATGTGCTGCCAAATTGATTCAATACGCAGGTCTGGCGGAGCCGCTATGCTGTTGGTAATCTTCATTCGGCGGTCTAGCAACACTTGTCGAGTGACTTCCTGAGCCGTGTTCAGTATCCCACCATTGTCTCCCATATCGTCACGAACAGGTGCTAGGGAAATGTCGAACCAGGTCTCCTCAAGATACGCGTGCCTGTCCAAGTACATGACGGAATCTGATGTGATGGTTGCGTGGCCTGTTCGTTCGATAGTATCGAACTGATCCGCAAAATCCTCCCATATCTCTGGCCACAGCTTCTGAAATGGAGCTCCGAAGAGTGCAGGGTGGTTGTGACCTGCTAAGGGAACATAAGCCTCATTGTAAATAGCCAACCTATCGGGCCCCCAGAATAGAGCAACAGCTCGACAGTCAGCGAGCATGATTTGAGTGGCCGATCGCAGATTTTTAGGCCAGGTGTGAAGAGCACCAAGACTCGTAGCACGCCAGTCTGTCTCTCGGAAGAGTTTGACATGATCTGAACATGGTAGCAGCAGGGTTGCCCAATCATCCCTGTCCAAGAAGCTGCGATCAGGTTTGTCTTTCGATTTGTTCACTTGGTCCCCAAATGAAGGATGTTGAGTATCACTGCGATCGTGATCGTCTAGATCTGCAGGGAGCGACTTCTTCTCCAATTTCCATGTTCTAGAACCTGCGGAGAAAACTGCCTGCCAAGATTGGTGCTCTGAACGAGACTCCAAGTCGAGCGGGATGGATAGTGCTGGCTGTCCGTTATGGTCGGCGGTTTGCTTGATCCCAAGGAATTCCAGACACGCAGGGTAACTATCGACAAGCCTTTCGAGATCGGTTAAGCCGTTGTCACCTTGTGCTGTCGTGCTGGAGTTGACCATATCCTTGTTGCTTTGGCTGTCTTTGGTAAAGACAGATTGCAGAGACCAGATTGAGAACTCGGCATGAAATTATGGGTCTTTGTGGTGGCAGAGTACCCCTTTGCCCTCCGACATTCCTCCTCTGTGAGACGTCCCCTCGCGCAGTCCAGTGAACAGGATGATGTAATATCCCTTCCCTTGACAGATTTGATCCATGTCACTAGAATGCAGATCATCCCCTTGCTGTATCAAGCATTCTGTCATCTAGACCCGTCTCTTCAACACTCGGCTAGAAAAGTATTCCGATCCCCTGTTCTGCGAGTACGAAAACGTGCTATTACAAGTGCGTGGTGAAGAGTCCGACACATTGGATGGCCTACTCATGAATATCCGACAAAGACTGTATTACCAGAACACATTTGGTACTTTCAATACGACTTTCAATACGACACCATTGGTGACCTCATCAGGAAATAGGCCCACTCTATTCCCCATTGCAAAAGTATTGCAATTCCTTAGCGCATACTTCCAAGCTGTTGCTGCTCCTCCGTTTTGCTCCAACAGCTACAGAAAGCTATATAAGGATCTAGATATCATAACATTTATATTAATATGCATCGGAGCTTCTTCTGATTATTCTGATATCAATTCTATGTTAAGAGAATCTTTTTTTGACTGAGTACATTTTTATACTACTTTGACTAACTACTTAGTCTTTCAAATGTAGACTTCAAAAACAGAAAAGTAAGTTTAATTATAAGCCAACAGATTTATCGCTGGTGGATGATATAGATTTGCTGTTATTCTGCTTGATATCTATAGATTCAGTATGAACAGCTCAAGCAGCTGCAGCAGGAATTGCAACACTTTTGCAATGGGCAATATCTGGCAGCATCACAGGAAAGATGCATCGATCACTCCGCCCAAAGGACAGCGGTTGGTGGGTTTCGAACCACACTTGATTGATGAGTCTTTCCTGACAGCAAACCCCAATTCATTATTCAGCTACATGCTGGACTGCAAAATAGAAAACTGGAAGTCATAGGTATTCACATGGAAAAGAAATTGCACTTTTGATTGTAACTAGTGGGACTTGCTCCTACTTTCCTTGTCTTTAGCAATACCGTCATCATCTTGGACGAAGACCTTTTGTATTCAAAGACTCTCCTCTGCTGGTGCCTAGGTACATAGGTCGATTACCACCTCAAGCATTCCAATAGTACCGACATTCCTTCGCATGTCTCATATATCATAGCACTTGGACTGTGCTTGCATTATCCTCCACGTTCTGTCATCTCGCTATCTAACATCATAACAGCGCGTGCAATTGTTAAACCATCAAATAATGCTTATCCTGCCCTGCTGATCATAACTCATGACTCAAATCTTCATAAGGACATATTTTGCTGCAGAAACACAGCCAGTTGTTGCACCTGCTCCCTCGTCTCATCATTCAGCTGCTCTTCGGGCTCGCCCAACACGGCCTTGATGGCAGGGATCAGCTTCGGGGTCAGGTCGATGATGGTTTGGTCTTCCCACTTGTACATTTGCACAATCATCTTCCACACCGGCTCGTTCTCTTCATAGTCCTCTTTCAGAGGTAGAATGCCGCTTTCGATCAGCTCCGGTAATATTTCATCGGTAGGAACGGCTTCCCGATGCTTTAGGATGAGTCGACTGATACAGCCAGCAGCATTATCTTGACAGCGGGCCTCCTTAATGGTGAATAAGTTGTGGACCTTGCTGAGAATCGGGGGGAATGCCTTCGCAACAGTAGCAGAATCATGGCTTTTCTCGACTAGCCTACCAATTGCATATGCAGCATTGCTCTTAGTTTGCGGGTCTTCGTCAGTAAGTCTTCTGAGCAATATCTGTCCAAGTTGAGCGGTGTACGGTGTGACGCTACTCCCCATCCCTGTGATGACCTCGGCGAGGACGCCGACAGCGGTAGATCGCTCGAGCGCTTCCCCTCCCGAAGCATACTTGAGGATGTGCTTGTCAAATTTCTTCCACAGCTGAGTGAAATCAGGGCCAAGTGCGACGGCAAGACCGGATATTACATCCATAGCGCTATCGACCACAAGCCAATCGAATTCTGTGATTTCAATGTCAGAGAGGTCGGCTTCTGCTTCTAGCGACAGCTCCTCTTGACAAGGGTGCTTTTTTGTGATAAGTGCCATAACGACGTTGACCACCTTCTCCAGGACATCAGGATATGAGACCAGATTCGGACCCGTAAGCTTTAGATTCTCGGCAAGGGATCGCGACGTATCCATGACAGTCGTCCTGTACGTGACGTTAGTGACGTGGAGCCCAACTTACATCGATATTCATGGAGAATGAAATTCAAATCTTGGTTCAGAGGGTTGAAAAACGCTTTCGCATCATACACATGTGTCAAAGTGAGCTGGGTAACGAATGCATATCATCATGGTATCGAGATCAATCGAAAGAAGCACTGGTCACAACGTACCTATCGTCTTCGTCGGCCCAAACGGTAATGGTTCCTGCCATTAAAACTTCGCCGAATTTCTTGAGTCTTGGTGACGGTTCGACCTTGAGTGGTAATCCAGGTTGCCACTTCTGGATGTGTCCGGCTTCCTCCTCTACGTCCCAAAGCGCAGCATATGCGCGGTGTAGCGTACTGACGGTTGCCTTCCGAATGCCCTCGAACTCATGCTCAATCAAAGGCAGAATCTTTTCAATCGACTTTTCCAGATATGGTAAGAACTCGCTCTTCGAGTTGGATATGACGTCTCCCAGGACTTCAATTGCGATTTCCTTCTCAAGGGCAATTGGTCCAACTGTGGTCAAATCGTTCCAGTCGTCTTCGTCGTCATCATAGGTCTCTACATCTCCTATGCCGCCATCCTCTCCAGCGACATCGTCATCGGTCGCAGCTGCGACCTTGACTTTCTTGCCGGCAATAGTAACTTCTTTACCCAGAAGATCACTGGCCCTTTCCCCAAGATCGACCTCTATGTCGGCTTCTTCTTGATCAAGACAATCAAAGAGTGCCTTAACAACTCCTGGCAGAAAATGTGCAAACTCCTCTTCGTAGACTTTTGCCAGTGAACCGAAGAGGATGTAGGTGCTCTCCTTCAGTCGCGAATGGTCCAGGCTCAACGCCTCTTCGCAAGCGAGCATCAGGGGAGCCACGTAGTTCTTGAACTTCTCTGGGCCAGCAGCCACAGCGAACTCGCCCATGGCATCAGTAATGCTAGCTCGGAGATCGAGCTCGTCTTCACTCTCCTTCTTCGTGGCGAACTCCTGCATTGAATGCATGGAATCGTCCAAGTAAGGTAAGAACGCAGACTCTACGGTTGATGCAAGGGAGCCTAGTGCACTTGCGGCCAGTGCCTTGATTTTGAAGTCAGGATGTTGGAACAGCCTTTGAAGAAGTTGTGTCAACTGTTCTAGATATGGGCTGGCATCTTCCTTCTCCATACCGTCTACCATGGCATCTATCGCACTGGAACCGGCCTTCATCATCTCAATGTTTGGGCCATCTTCTTCGCCCTGATATGCCTGCATAGCAGCAGTCAAGTTCTTTAGTAACATTGGCATCAGCTTCTTGTGCTGCTTTCCCAGATCCTGTGGTACATTGTCGGCTAGTTGTGCAACTGAATGCAAGGCTGCTTGCCGCACTTTGACTTCGGGATCATCAAGCAGGCGAAGTACGACCGGAATGAAATCCTGAACCTGGGTGCCAACAAAGTCTGGTGCGCCCTCAACACACATTCCTAACGCAAGGATGCCAGCTCTTCGATAATCAGGATCGCTGTGTCCGGAAAATTGGCGCAAGGCCTTGAGTAGAGGTACAATGACTTGGCTCGAAGGCAGTTGTTGAGCCATCGAACCTACCAAACCCAGGGCAGAGCGAGCCGGAGTAATGTCATCATCGTCTGCGGCTGAGTCACCCAGCTCTGTCACGATTTGTAACATGCTCATAACAAGCTGCTCGCCTATCTTCATGCCCTGGATTTTGAGTCTCCTGTATTGTACCGCCTGCATCAAGAAGCTGATTGCCTGTACTCTGGTATCCTCGGCTAAATCCTTGTTTGAGGCAATCTGGTTCATGAAGATGACAAGGTGCTGGAAGTGCTTAGACATGAGCTGATAATCACAACCCAGGAGTGTTTGGAAGACCTCGAATGCCTGCATGATTCGGTCTTCCTCTCCAGCATCTATGGTGTCCTTGAGTACGCCAACCATTGAGGGAAAGAGACCTTGGAAGGCCTTTACCGAGGCTTGGTCATCTTCCTCGTCTATTACCATAGCCATCTTTGATAGAGCAAGCATAGTGTTGATTCTAACCTCGTTGCTCTCTGGATCACGGATAGTATTTCCAAAGAGCGCAAATAGATCTCTAAACCGCTCGCTGAATGCATCCCCCATCGTTTCCAATATGCTGAACAGAATGTACGTTCCCACCACCCTCTCCTCTTGCTTGCTACTCGTTGCAGCCTTTTGCAGGAAGCTAGGCAAGTCCGCCCACTCCCCATCGTTCAGGTCGAGCTTCGCGATTGCGGAAATCAATCTGGCGGCCGCATGTCGAACTTTGCCATCGTTTTCGGCAATCGTCGCCTGCAGCAACTGAGATCGGACATGTGGTCGTTGGTTGGCAGATATCCTTGTCCAGTGCTTGGGCACCAGCTGTCGGGCTTCCACAGCGGCAAGCTGCTTGAGGGAGGTCAAGTCATGCGAGATAATGAGTTGTATGAGAAATAGCAATGATTCGGGCTGCTTGTAGAATTCGTTCTGTAAAACGCTGGTCGCAGACTTGACGTTTCCTTTGCTCGGGTCTAACACAATCTGGAGCTGTTCCAGAAACCGTTGTTGGTCCATCGTTGCAACACGGTGATTGTGCTGTAACAGCACTTCGAGGTTGTCGTCGCTTGAGAGTCAATCGCTCAAAACATCGCAGATTGAACGATGATAGTGGTGCGAAATATCGACTACATTTAAAAAGGTGAAGAATGTTCAGATACAGGTCAAAATCATCAATATTATGATCCAGTATCATAGCAACATTTTTCTTTCGTGTGGACCCCACTTGAACTTTCTTAATCCCCATAAATTTTTGGAGGCTTGGCAGGTTCTACACACTGCCAAGGTATAGTACTAGTACTTAGTACTACGTTAGTACCCGACGTACTACGGGAGGAGTCATAAATAATGTTAGTACGCCCTAGTAATTTTGTTATTTAACACGTCTCTTACAGATACCCCTGCTGCACTTGTACGACTTCAACACGTTTAACGCGTTCAGCCTATATTATTATTCTATCTCTTTCTACATGATTTGTAAAATTTTGATATATTTCTATGGATTTTATAGAGTTTATCAGGCTATCTCCTTTAGAGCTACTCGAATCAATGCCAGCAAGGTGCCAGGCAGTCATGATGCTAATAGAATGCACACTTGATTCTGAGCGGAATAGACTAGTCTTAATCAGGCGAATATGTGGCGTTCTATCTTGGCATTTACAAGTTGCTACTAAGGCGAACTAACATTATTTATGCCTCCTACCGTAGTACACTTCATAAACTGCAGGGATGCAGGTCAAACGGTCATACTTGGGCTGAGTCGGTGCGAGCATGTAGGTTGCACTGCGTGTCTAGGACCAAGGACTTCTTTTTTGAGCCTATTCGCCATCTATGAGGATGAACTTAGATCGCAAGGTGCGCTACAGCCTCGAAAGTCCGGGGAAATGAAGTGGTGAGCGCTCCGTCTATTTTCCGTACTCCAATGTCCGCACACAGTCATATGCGCCATTATCTGTGTTCTTATTCAAGACCATTCACCTTTTCTGAAACAACTTGCTATCACGGTGCTTAGCTTGTAAGCCACCAAAAAGCAAGGCTCTACCAGTAATGTAGGTGATTGTGATTCTATAGAAACAAAGCCAGTCATCCAGCACGTCGGAATGGGTGCCCGAAAATTCATTATCCCCAGTACATGTATCACAGTTGCCTGCTCATTGCATTGTCACCAAACTACAGTGATTACTTCTAAAACCATATTCTGCCAAAGCCCTGGCTGAGAAGAAGGACGCAGGGAGCAGACAGCACACTGGTGTGGCCACGGATCCTGAGTCATGATGCTTTAGGCATCTGCGTTTATTAGTAGTATACACGATCGTTGAAACAGCCAAAGGTAATGCTGAAGACTATCATGGACGGCTTAGTCCGATATGTGAGACAGTACCAAGCGGCATTGGAAACCGGCTGCCAGCACACCACAACTCGTGGTGCCACATGGTGCTAAAACCAATATGTCAAGGCGAGACTCACCGGAATAAGTTAGACGTTAGACTGGCCTAGGCTGAGAACAACAAAAACAGGATGTGAATGTTGTTCCACAATATGCTGAGCGCATGGCGGTGCATTGAAGGGAACGTTTGATCCGAGAAAGAGAGATACCTTGGGTGCGGTGTCTTGCTGCAGATGGGAAGCAATTTGCGTGTCCCGAAGCGATGAACGATCTCCAGCTATGCACGTGCTTTCATCCTCCCGAGCGGCTGGGCCCTGTCAGTTGCTTGCGGCGTATCTATTCGCTCTGTGCTTCTCGGATAGTATCGCGGCAATTAATCACCCACACTTTGCTTGGTGCTTCTCCGTCCGACGCCTTCAGTCCAGCCCTGACGACAGCTTTGGCAATGACATCAGTATTCTGAGCCCATCCGTCCTTGGGACAGCGAGAATTGCATGATAGCCCCGAGAGCCCAAGCAATCTTCCTGATAACTGCTTCCGCAGGCCGACTTTCCTCACGATATCCTGCTATTGTGTCAGGCCTTAGAATGACAGTATGGTCGAAACCTAATCCTTCGATATCCTATTCAATTTGGCCCTTCAATTTTGTGTAGCCAAAAATTTGAAGCAGTGCTGGCCTTTTCCGAGGAGACAAGCACCTAGACCATTGGGCCCGCTTCTTTCGCACCTGTGATCACCTCGATATTGAGGCCATTTTCGAGTTTTTAATGATTCTCAAAGCTGCCAGCTGCAGCACGTGCGGTCCCGAGAGTAGGAAAGAATATCGATGGTTGTGGAGAAAGGGACCTGTAATGCTTTTTCCATTTGCTAGTATTGGGATCGATCAAGTGGTCAACTTCGAGGTAGAGGGTGGTGGTGATGGATTGCGCTGCGCGATAATATCAATTGTGGTGATTTGTGGCGAGAATAGAAGGGTAGAAAGAATTTGGGATCCCTTTTATGAGACATATAATTGTGTATCTACAAATGACATGGTTCTTACTGACTATCATTCCTATACTATCTAAAACAAGTGTTGCCGTCTTTGAAATGATTGTGAAGTGGGAAAAGTGAACTGGATTTGGGTCGGTTGTGGCAAAACATTTCTCTGCAGATGGACGGAATATTCGAAGTCTTTTAGAGCTGATGTACCTACTGTATCTTAGTTGAAGCAAGAAGACTGAGAAGTTTTCCTTATCGGCGTTACTAAATTAAAGGATAATGGATTCAACTATTCTCCTTAGTGATAGTCCATCGTCCACAAATCGCAGGGCTTGGCATTGCGTGATTGTTAACGAACCGCTTAGCAATTTTGTTAGACCCTCTCTTTGCTCCGACAATGCAATATGTAGGTCAAATCTCGTACGGCGGCCATTGCGCCGTCATCCTATGCTTATATTTTTGTTTGCTCTCTTCGCCACACTCGTTCTTCACCACTTCGTCAAGGTAGAAGATTGAGACTTCCCGCATCTTCGGAACGAAAGCAATTGGCCTCTTAGCAGCCGATATGCCATCCTCGAGCCTTGCTTTCGGGCAGAACCAGCCATTTGACTCCATTGCTGGCCCTACATATGTGACTGCGCAAACGTTGATCCAACAAGTCGCCTATTCTTTGTCAGACAAGCTCTTCACCTACTCTCCTGATACCTTTGACTTGGATGTTTCCGCCTCGGAATGGTTTGCTCAAGGCGAGAAGAATGCCAATGGCTATGCTACCTCGGTCCATCCCATACAGGTCAGACAAGGTGCCGGCAGCATAGCACTTGGGTATATATTTTCGAAAGACTTTGACCTGAAAAGGAGACATATCCCGCAAGGCCTCTTGGCTTCCTCGTCGAGCTTACGATATCTAAAATCTGCCCTGGAACAGTTGTCTCTGCTATACAATGTGGCAAATCCATTTGTGGCCCATATAGCCGCAGCTGACTACATGGGATCCAAGAAAGGTGGCATGGTGGCGGATTATACAAACGCGATGGCGGTGGCTGAAGACCTGGGATATGGAATGGTGTCGAGCACCTCAGCGTACGAGTCACAACACATGGCACTACTTGCGACAACCATGGCACAAATCTTGCCGACATTCCATATTTATGACGGTGTTAAGGTTGGGCGAGAAACAACAAGGGTTGTCGACGTTCTCGACCGGGCAGGATTGAGAAGAGCATATCATTCTGTGATAGCGGCGGGTGCTACAACCGACAACAAGCACATGGATATTCAGGGACGAGCTATGAAGCTGCTGCAATCTTTCAACGACGAACTTGGCAGCGACTATCAATTCTTTGAATATTCTGGTCATCCTTTGCCGGATGCTGTTCTCGTAACTTTTGGGTCCATTGAATCATCATTGGCTCGTCAGGTTGCTTCAGTTTTGTCAAAGCAGGATACTCGGGTTGGTGCCATTAATGTTCGAATATATAGGCCTTTTGTGGAAGAGGAGTTTCTGAGGGTACTGCCGAAGTCCACTAAAGTCCTCGGGGTGCTGGGCCAAGTTATTGACAAGAATGCTGTGCGGGAACCTAGCATTCGCTCGTCATTGTACGAGGATATCCTTCCTGCACTTGCGTTCAGTGGCGTTAAGGCGCAAGTTCAGGAGCTCAAGTACTCAAGATCTCAAAACTGGACCTCCATCGAAATCGCTGCAGCTTTTCAAACCATCATCGGCAAACCTGTTCTTATCGAAGGCATTAATGGCACCGCATCAGCACTGGAATTATTGGACTCCTCTGTTCAGCAGTACTCGTTCTGGGATGTTGACCAATCCCCCTTGGCAGAGGCAGCAACGATTCTTGCCAGAACACTTTCGAAAGACTCTTCGAATAATGTTACAACAAGCAGCATCTACGACAATGAACTAGAGGGCGGCTCGGTAAGGATAGATATTCGCAAGTCACCCAAAAGTCTTGAAGCGAGTTTTTCTATAGATGCAGCTGAAGCAATTGTCGTTGGTGAGGTGAAATTGTTAGCGAAAGTCAATATCGTCAAGAGTGTCAAAGACGGAGGCAATATAATACTAAAACTCCCAGGTGTGAAGGACGAAGATGTCGAGAAGAAGCTCCCAGTCTCTTTCAGGAAAGTTATTGCTCAACGCGCTATAAATCTGTTCTTGGTCGATCCAGCTGCCACTACCCTAGCAGAGAAAGATAACGTGGAGCCAATCATCATGGAAACTGCCTTTACGCGAGTTGCTTTACGTGACGTGGAGCCCACAGCTCTCAAAAAGTTAGCTGCGATCGTCGGGCAACCAGAATTGGTCGAAGCAGTTTCCAAAGATCTGGACAATACTTTACGCGAAATCGAAGTCCCAAAATCATGGGCCGATACCGAGCCCGAGAGCGAGGAAAAGATTTTGTCGCCAGATCTTTCTTGTAACAGTTTCGTTGGCTTCGACAAGGACGAATCCGAACCACTTTCCCAGCTTCGAACATGGCAAAAGGCGGCAAAAGGATTGCTCTTTAAAGAGGCTTATAACACCAAACCAGCGCTGCGTCCAGACCTGCCCATCAAAACCTTCACGGTACACGTCAAAGAGAATCGTCGTCTTACGCCATCATCCTATGATCGAAATATCTTCCATATCGAATTTGATCTTGGAGCTTCTGGCCTTAAGTATGACATTGGAGAAGCTCTTGGTATCCACGCTGAAAACGATCCAACCGAAGTGATGGAATTCATCAAGTTCTATGGTCTCGACCCCGAAGAAGTAGTCGAAGTGGCCAGCCGTGAGGATCCATCTGTCTTCGAAAACAGAACGGTCTATCAATCCCTTGTTCAGAACATCGACATCTTTGGTCGCCCACCAAAACGATTTTATGAAGCTCTGGCCAATTTTGCAGACAATGAAGGTGAAGAAAAAGAGCTCCGCATCCTTGGTGGCCCAGAGGGAGCTAAGGAATTCCAACGGCGCGCCGAAGTTGATACAATCACATATGCCGATGTCCTTCTTGAATTTCCTTCTGCTCATCCTTCATTTCACGACATCGTTCGTATAGTAGCACCTATGAAACGTCGCGAATACTCCATTGCATCCTGTCAGGCCGTGACACCGTCATCAGTCGCCCTCATGGTTGTCGTTGTCAACTGGGTAGACCCCAAAGGCCGGGACCGCTTCGGACAGGCTACACGCTATCTCAGCAAACTCCCTCTCGGGTCGCCAATCACGGTTTCTACCAAGCCGTCCGTAATGAAACTTCCTCCAAAGAGCATCCAACCCCTCATCATGGCAGGTTTGGGCACCGGGCTCGCCCCCTTCCGAGCTTTCGTGCAACACCGCGCGATGGAAAAGGCCCAAGGTAAAGAAATCGGCTCTGTCCTTCTGTACATGGGCTCTCGTCACCAGCGAGAAGAGTACTGCTATGGTGAGGAATGGGAAGCTTATCAGGATGCCGGTGTCATTACCCTTCTTGGCCGCGCCTTCTCCCGAGACCAGCCGCAGAAGATCTATATCCAAGATCGGATGAGGCAGACCATGACCGACATCATCCAGGCTTATATCAAGGAAGATGGGGCTTTCTATCTGTGCGGACCGACATGGCCGGTGCCGGATGTGACGAATGTGCTGGAGGAGGCGATCGCGATAGATGCTAAGGCGGTGGGAAATAAGAAGGTCGATCCCAGAAAGGAGATCGAGAAATTGAAGGATGAGGGCAGGTATGTTTTGGAAGTTTACTAGCGACATGGAGCTTATGTGCATGTACCTGGCGCATGGATAGTTGTCAAGTGTTCCCTGTTAGATGCATTTTACGACTCTTGCATTAGACTACAGCAGACTAGATCAAAAGCTTTCCTTGTATACAACACAACTTAGAGAGCGAATGTACAGAAGAATGCCCAATTTAGCATCAACTTATCTCGACTGCTATCCTTTATGCTCCACTCCTGTTTCTGCTCATCATATCAGGAATCAATGAAACGAAACAGCATGTGCCATCGTCGTTTGGACGGAATATGATTGGACGAAGATCAGCCATGATTCCTATCTCATCAGTACTATGGCAAAGTTCGTTTGATGGAGTAGACGACAACGCAATACATAACTCGAACGAAACCCCTCCTCGTCCGGCCAAGTGACACGTTTTCATTCATCGACTACCATCTAATTTCTTCTAGTTTCTACCTTGTATATTCGGACTAGTCGATCAGTCGTTGCTTTGAGGCGGGTGTGCAGCTTCTTCTTCAACTTTGCATCTCATTCCCCCGAGACTGCTCTGACATCTTGGAAATATTTCCTTGAGAATTCCCTTTCTCGAAGCTGCCTCGTCCAATGACTCTTGCCACAGGTCAGCTCTCGGATTTCGACATCAGTCCGCTTCCTTGTCTGTGCCACTGATGGTTTTCCTTCCTTCTAGACTCTGTCGCACCGCGCTAGGTCAGAGGCGACTTATCATGCGAAACTTTCCCTAGATCAGCCTTCAGCTTGGATACCCGTTTGAGCTTTTACACTGACATTATCTTGCTGCCTTACATCTTCTTCTTCTTGCTTCAAAGTCTCGTCCATATCTCGCGGGATTTGGTCTCTTCTCTCATTCTCTGGTTCGGAAATCTCCAAGGGCGACTTGAGGTCTTGTTCACATATTCTCCCTCTTCTTTTGGAAGTCCCTTGCGACCCCAACTGGTTGACAGCACATTGATATCTCAACCTTTTGACTAAGAGTCCCCATCTTGGATTGGGGTGGGATTTCTTTCTGCTTCATTTGGCTCCCCCACCCTGCTCATATTTTTTCTTGTGACAGCATCTTATTCTCGCTATCATGGCATCATACGAGGACGATGACTTACCACACAAGTCTATCAATGATGCACAGCTCATGTATGTCAGCCGCATTTCTGATACATGCATGACTGACACATGCGACAATACCAGGCTTCTTTAATCAGAGACGGCTGAGAAATACACAGATGCTAAAGTAACTTGCAAGGGGGTCGAGTGGAAAGTTCAGCAATCGATACTTCGCACAAGATGCCCTTTCTTCGACGTGTGTTTCCGGCAGGGAACATTCAAGGTCTGCTTCTCCTGAACTCACCTGCTCACTCACAGTGCAAGCCCCCTTATTCATGCTTCACCCGCTTCCTGTACGGCTCTCGTGATCGGAAGAGGCGGACTAACTTATTGACCGCGTAGGAAGGCGAGACGAAGACCGTGGATTTTGATGATGATGATGCGTATTCTGTCGAAGCATTACTCATATATCTGTACACTCTCGAATATCCTAATCGAAAAGCGCATAAGTTCGAAGAGCCACCGCCGAAAGCTGGCGGGCTATCACAGAAGAGAAGACCGCGCAGGTTTCGACTTCAATCAGGACCCGTAATCAAGGATCCATCAGCCGATCCTGTTCCAATGATCATTGTCCAGAAAGTCCCTTACATTGTGGACAACGAAAGAGAGACGAAGTCTACCCGCTTCAAGCTCAAGAGTGAGGCACCAAAAGAGACGTGGCAAGAACGTCTGGGGCTTTACCGCATCGCGCATCGACTCAATCTCACCAACCTTTGTAAGATAAGCCTGGGCATTATGAGGTCGGAGATCGATTCAGCACTGCGAGCCACCAATGCCGATGAATTCATCAGAGAGGTATACAGCCTCGACCAAGACGAGGCTCAGAGCATCAAAGAAGATATTGCAACAAAGATTGCCGAGGCGGGGCCACAAACCACGTGCGCTTTCGTATTATACAGTCTCTTGCGGTCCCACCCATTTTTGGGCTGCAACTTGGTTAAGGCGATGAGAGCAAATGAGGAGAGGCGAACAGAGATGACTACCAAGCTGCGGGTGACTAACGACCAGCAGGCGAAGGAGATCGACGGTTACAAGCAACAGCTCGCAGAAAGTTGGCACGAGGCGGAAGAGAGGAGCGAACTGGCATCAATGGCCGAGAGAAGGCTGCAAGATGAAAAGACGGAGGCAGGGAGGCTTAGCAAGACAACCACCCAGCTGAGGAAGGAATTACGTGAATGCAAGGAAGCGCTGGCAAAGCAGGAGACTGAGACGGCTGAGTGCAGGGAACAAATTGACCAGCTGGAAAAGGAGGGAAAGGTTGCCAAAAAGCCCAACCGGCTTCTACGTCACGGTAGACAACGCCCCACCAATATCATTGTAGGTGCTGAAATGTACTCTGGATGAGAGATTCCAAGAAAGCGGATCTGCCTTGAAGAAAGTTAGAGAGCCTGCGTTCGGCTGCCTGCTTTTCAGGTAAAAGAGCATCGTCCATAGAATGCTTGGAGAGCTTCGACAGCAGTGCGAGATGCTAGAGTTTGAGCTCATGAAATACAAGCAGAGCCTGGCTCAGTCCATAGCTGAAGCCTGGATACTCTTTGCATCACTAATCTTCCAAACTCTCCGGAAGTATCCGTTAGAATCCTCTCTTTTTAAATATGGCCTAGTTGCTTCCCTGGAAGAACCATTCGCGAAACTGATAGAGGACTCCAGAACGCAGCATTCGCATGCCATATTCCAACATTGACGGTCAATCGGTAAGGCCTGGCAGAGGCTGGGTACCCGCATCCACCCTTGGGATTTCATTGAAATGGCCGGCCAAGGCTTTTACGTGCTTAAGTAGTATGGTAGTGGCACAGTCCAGCAGCCTTTCTGCATCTCCTGAAGAGACGAGGTTTGTCGTCTTGATGTACTGCTATGAGTCTGGGAAAGCCCATAGTTGCATCGCGGTGGGGCCTTGGGGATCTTCGAGAAGCCGAATCCATAGCAAAACTAGGCACGCAAATCAGTATGCTTTGTCCAAAGATAAGTCGTTGCGCAAGGTGGGTTTCGGTGTCATTCTCGTCGAAATGCATGCCAGCCAGAAGCTAGAGACAATGTCCTGTTTTGAATCAATCGGCCATTGTCCTCCCAGTCAAAAATTGACTCTTGTCCCGCACATCCAATAAAGAATCCACATCCACCCCACCCCCAGCAAGAAATCTCTCGTTTACCCCCAGATTAATCTGCCTACCCAGAAGTTCTTTCAACTGCGCCCTCCAACCAGCAACCTCCGCCTTCGGCACCGCTCCCGTCGTCTTCTGCTGTTGCTTCTTTGTCGCGCCCCTTCCTCGACTATTCTTGGCCTCCTCCTTAGCAAACTCATCGCTATCGAAATCTAGCACGCCGAGTTCCTCCGCGGCGGCGCGTAGCCATTCGTCTTGGGAGCCGACCTTTTCTTTTGCTAATGTCGCATTTGTGATCTTCTGGGATAGAGTCAATCGGGGCTTTAGCCGAGCCACGAGCTGGCGGTCCACATGTATTGGCTCCAGATGGTGGTTACCGGCCGCTCCTGGGCTATGGATCTGGGCACCAAGTTTCGTAACTCCCGCTACCTCGTCTGGCGAGCAGAGGAGGATAGACTCCCCTCTTTTGGAGGCCCGTGCGGTTCTGCCGGAGCGGTGGACGTAGGAGTCTGCGGTTCGGGGGACGTGGTAGTGCAGGATTAGGTCGATGTTTTGGATGTCGAGACCTCGAGCTGCTACATCGGTGGCGATTAAGATGGTTCCGCCTGTTTTGGGGGTAGAGAAGCGTTCGACGCTTCTCAGGCGTGCTTTTTGCGGCATGCTAGAGTGGAGGGAGCTGGCTGGGAAGTTTAGGTTCTGTAGGAGTGGTGTGAGGCGACGGACGGAGGAGATGGAGTTGGTGAAGACTAGTATCTTGGCCTGAGGTCGTTGAAGAAGTAGAGAATAGAGGTAGATGTCTTTTTCCATTGGGGAACATTCGACCAGGCCTTCATCTAATTGCTGGGCCATCTGTGAGGTCGGATTGACGTCAATGAACTTTGGCTTCGTTTCTCGGAACGATATCTTTTGAAGTAAGTAATCCATTGACTGCTTGTCGGTCAGAAGATCGCCCCCGGCAGTCCGAGACTTGCTAGCGAGTTTTTGTTGAAGACCTTTATGGAAGGTTGCAGAAAAGATGAGGGTTTGCCGGTTCGGTCGATTGGAGTCAGCGTTGTTGGAAAGCGAAACCTCTCCGTCACTGATGACCTGGCGATCGAGCATGTCGAGGATCTCTTCAACTTCCTTGAAGTGACCTTCACTAAGCAAGCGATCTGCTTCGTCGATGACCAAGAATTTGATGTGCTTTAGGTCTTCGATCAGATCTTGTGAACCATTCATTACCTCCCAAAGACGACCTGGTGTGCCAATGATGATATCAGCATCGACTAGCTGGCGTTGCTGTTTGTGAATTGAGAGACCACCAGTGACTGCGACAGTCCTGGGCTTTTCCACAGCATTCTCTACCAAATCTTCAAAGTGTCTAGAGAGCTGATGAGCAAGTTCCCGCGTCGGTGTAAGAACTAGACTGGTTGGGAGCACTTTTCGCTGGGGTTTTGGGATATGAGCTGAAGTTTTTGAAGCGAGCCATTTTTCGAATATGGGTATCGCGAAGGCCAGGGTCTTGCCAGATCCTGTAACAGCCTTCCCTATAACATCGTGGCCCGCCAGAACTTGTGGAATAACAGCAGCCTGGATCGGTGAGGGCCGTTCAAAGCCCAAGCCGGCGATTGCAGCAAGTGTTTTGTGAGACAGTGAAAGGGCAGACCACTCCGAGGTGTCAACTCCTTTGTCTTCGGATGCATTGTCCAGTATGCTGTATGGAACCCCTGACACGAGCTCACTCTTTTCTAGCTTTCTCTTGCCGCTCGTCTTCCTGGGGACATTTCCCTCGTACCTCTGTTGCGTCTTCTCTTCACGGCTATCGGCATCTGATCGGTCGTCGTCTGTCAGACCAGACCATTCGTCCTCATTTTCCAAAGAGACTCCTGATTCCGTGGACAGGTTGGGCTTTGAAAATACAGTATTCGTACGCGAAGATGGATGTTGAGAGACACTCTAGCAGAAAAATCCATTAGAGATCATGAACAGGAGGAAAAGTGGACAAATGTACTCTAAAGTGTGGTTGATTTCCATTTGTGTCCCTTACAACCTCCACGTCGTCAATCTCTTCTAGGCCCAAGAAACCCTCCGCATTATCCAGCCGCTCAGGCGGAGTGACCTCTCTCCAAGCTAGCTCGTTGGCTGAGACTGTTGCGACAGATGTACTAGCTGATGGTTTGATATTCTTTGATTCACTGGAGGTGGCTACCAATTTCCTTCTCTTCCGAGACGAGTTCGAAGTCTCGGTAGGCCTCACCCTTTTTGGGCCAGTCCTAGACATGTTTGATAGATGTTTAATAGATAGACGTAGAGTTGTGAAAAAAGTCCCGCGGAGTTTTGAAATAGCTAGCTTAGTGGGAAGCTAATAGAGTGACATAAATACTAGGATATTATAAAAAATAAAGTATAAGCTACTCTGTAGCATCGGAGTTGCCGCCAATGAGGACTAAGGCGGCACAGGCGAGAGGTCCACTACCCGGCACCAAGTTTCTGATGTGTTTTAATTTATTATAATCATTTGGGTTTCAGCAATAATTTTCAAACAAGAAAGACTTTTCTCTTGCTCTATCTTATGTAATGGGCAAGTCATCAAAGGATAAGCGTGATATCTACTATCGACTTGCAAAGGAGCAAAATTGGCGTGCCCGTTCTGCCTTCAAGCTGATTCAACTTGACGAAGAGTTCGACTTGTTCTCTTATGAAGATCCTGCGAAGTGCACACGTGTTGTTGACCTCTGCGCCGCCCCGGGAAGCTGGAGTCAGGTGCTTAGTCGAGTTCTGATTAAAGGAGAAAGTTTTGGCCGACGGGCATGGATTGAAAAGCAGTCAAAATTGTTTGGCAAACAAGAAGACCCTGCTCTTGACAAGCTCGAAAAGCTGTCAGTCTCCGAAGGAACAGGTTCTGTTGTAGCCGAAACGGGCAAGAGTTCAGCTGCATCACAAGATGAGAAGATCCTACTACCAAGGGAGAATGTCAAGATTGTAGCTATCGATTTGCAGCCAATGGCTGCTTTGGAAGGTATCGTGAGCCTGAAAGCAGACATCACCCATCCGGCTACGGTGCCTCTACTCCTAAGAGCGCTTGATCCTGATTACGAAGATGGGCCCATGACGGAAACTCACCGAGTGGACCTCGTTATTAGCGATGGTGCACCAGACGTTACTGGCCTTCACGATTTGGACATCTATGTGCAATCTCAACTTCTCCACTCCGCCTTAACACTTGCGATGAAAGTCTTGAAACCTGGCGGGAAGTTTGTGGCTAAGATATTCCGCGGCAGAAATGTTGACCTCATTTATGCGCAGCTGAAGCTCGTGTTCACCAGGGTGCACGTTGCAAAGCCTAGGAGTAGTAGAGCCAGCAGCATCGAAGCATTTGTGGTCTGCGAGGGCTTCAAACCCATCGCAGGCTGGACACCAGAAATTGGTGCATCTATCAGAACCAATAAGCCGGCATCCACTACTACCAGTGGGAAACAGCGAAGACACGTTCGAGAGGATGGTATCACAGAGCTGGAAATGGAGACAGCCTATGATTATGCTGAGAGGTATATTGCTCCGTTCCTCGCTTGTGGCGATTTATCAGCTTGGGACGCAGACGCAAGCTACAAATTGCCTGAAGGGCATGTCAGCTTAGACCCGGTGCAGCCTCCGACCGCTCCGCCTTACAAGGCTGCTCTGGAAAAACGTCGAATGGATGGCGGGGCTTATGGCAAGACGAAGAAAGCGGTGAAAGATCCTAAGTCACAGTCCGGGGATCCTTGAGCTGACTGGAGGACCTTCAAATCCCACTTTCACCAAGGAACGAAGCCTCCGACCTTCTATACCGTAATCACGGATAGACGGTAGGCTAGGTAAAACTTAGCCTATAATGATGAATCGTAGCAGCAAGTCCCACCCGCTTAGCATCACCCGCTCATCCGCTGACCATATCCAGAGAAACGAAGGGACTTCCAGATGGTCAAGTGTTGCTCCAGATACCCCTAGAGATTTTGGCAAGTAGTACCAGAAACAAGGTGTGGATAACATTAAGCCTGTGTAAGGAGTAACTTCTCTTATATTCCTCCGCAACCTGTGGCTGTATCATTCGAGCTTCAGAAGCCTCCCAGCTGCTCTCACCGTTTTAACAGCCAGGAGGATGAATATCACCTGTGACGGTCGCGTTGTATTCGTTGGCGTCTTGAAGGTAGCAGAGTTATCAGCTTTAGGTGTCGCAATCGAACTTGGTCCAGCGAGAGGTGTAACGGTAACGCTGCCGTCAGTTACGATAGAGGAATCAACGTGGGATTCTATTTTGCTTGCAGAGAAAAGACATCAAAGTATTGATTTGTGTGAAGATTGAAGATTGAATCTCGATGTGATGCGCTCCATGGCGAATGAAAAACCCAAAATCAGAAATTCAAAAAAAGTCAAAAACCTTGGACCCTCGAACCATCATCCACATTATTTTGTGGTGATGGGTCAGAGGGACCAGGAGAAACTTTGAAGGTTTTTTGGGTTTGGACGTGTCAATGAGCCTGAGGCAACTGTCAACACCGTTGGTTAATCTACGAGTCACACAAATCCGGGTACGATTCCGATTATGATTTGCTATATAGTGACAGCTTGAGCAGTGCTAACCAACTACACCATGCGCCCGAAGTTGAATGTGTAGCTAAATAATAAAATATAACCATTCATTGTGTTTGTGTTTGTGTTTGTGTTTGTGAAGCCGAACACCAGCTGGACCTGGTATTTGATGTCTTATGTAATCAGCGCCGGTACCTGCCAAGACAAGCTCATCTCCAACACTGACTTGAGCTCAGACCATCATTTTATAAAAGCGTTCGTCTTCTTGTTGCCTTCGAAGCTGCAGACCAGCGTGACACCACCACGTGCGTCTCACACCTCACCGCTGTCCATTATCATCGCCACTATGGGATCCGATCCTCAATTTGCAAAATACCCGAATCTGGGCCTTGCGCAGTCGATATTTTCCATCTCTACCAACCCAACTGCCGTCAAATCGATTCAAAATGCGATTCAAGAGCATAAAATGGCACCTTTATATCGACACCTTGCACATCCTGTGGAAGGAATGTTGAACTCTAGTGGAGAGGGTTCAGCCCAGTCCCCATTAAAGCCACCTACCCGGCGAGAATCCATTATCTCGTCGAATCTGCTTCCAGCCGGTAGACCAAGGCTTACGAATGTCCTACCTTGGGATGCCACGATATATGAAGAGTTGAAGGCCGACAACGAAAAAGAGCTCGCTGCCATACAGAAGGAAGAGGAGGCGGCGGAAGAAAATGCTGGTGAGACAGAGATACAAGCTGCACGAGGGAAGCGCGCCGAGTTCTGGGCTAGGGTTGGCGACAAGGTAGATAGATGGTTGAGTCTGAGGCTAGCCATCCCGTACTGACTAGGAAATCTATAGGACAAAGCAATCACTGCTTATGAGAAGGTCTTCGAAAAGGCCGGCCCCTTAGGGACGAAGATTGATATCGTACTTGCCATCATTCGAGTAGGACTTTTCTTTGGAGATAAGCTGTTTGTGAAGAAGCAAGTGGATCGCGCAAACATGCTGGTCGAAAGTGGAGGAGACTGGGACCGCAGGAATCGACTCAAAGCATATAAAGGTCTTCATCTTCTCACCATTCGATCTTACAACCTTGCTGCGCCATTTCTACTTGACAGCCTCTCCACTTTCACCAGTTACGAACTCTGCAGCTACTCGTCACTCGTCATCTACGCCGTCTTGGCCGGGTCTCTGTCACTCAAACGTGTGGATTTCAAGGCGAAGGTGGTGGATGCGCCAGAGATCAAAGCAATCCTGGGAGATGGGGAAGAGAAAGTCGCAGCGTTGACTGGTCAGATCTCGGCGGGTCCGGCGGCAGGTGATGAAGAGATGAAGGATGTCTCTAGTAGCGCCACTCCTGGCCAAGCATCCACAGTCGTCAATCTCGCCACGCTTGGCACCGGCTCGGCCACCCAGGCTGAAGAAGAAACGCCTATGGACTTCACTCCACTAGCAAGCCTTGTCAACAGTTTGTACACCGGCAATTATCGATCGTTCTTTGTTTCATTGGCCGCGGTGGAGGAAAACTTTCTCAGTCAGGACCGGTACCTTTTTGAGCACCGGGCATGGTTTGTTCGGGAAATGCGGCTGCGTGGGTACCAGCAACTACTGCAGAGCTACCGTGTTGTGGGCTTGGATACAATGGCAGCCAACTTTGGTGTCACTGTCGAATTCCTCGATAGGTATGTTCCACGTCTCTCGAAGCGCTCTTGGCTAACATACTTCACAGGGATCTTGCAAAATTTATTGCTGGCGATCGAATCCCATGTACGATAGACCGGGTGAAGGGCATAATTGAGACGACAAGGCCAGACGATAAGAACAAACAATACGCTGATGTTGTTAAGCATGGAGATACTTTGATCACCAAGCTCCAAAAGTATGGCCAGGCAGTGAGGTTGAGAGGAAGCGAGAGAGCCTGAAGCCGTCCCTTTTGGTCGTGGTCATTTAGCGAATGGCGTTGTGGAGGTACAACACCTCAGTTTTCATAGACACCCGACCCAAGCCTCGGTTTTGATGTCGGAAAAACTTACCAGAGCGGGTAATCGTGTGAAACTACTCCGTACTCAACTTCTGTTGCCGATGGGTTCGGTAGATTTGACTTCGGGCTGTTTGAATCTTGCATATGTAACCAAGACAGACCAAGATGTCCTTTCCTCGATCCCCGCCTTATCATCTTATCGATCACGGACCCACAATTGATTCAGTTTCCATTTCGCATTTGCCAAAACCCACTGATTGACTCTGCGCAGCCTGTTATCTGTTCGTTTGCAAGCTACACAAAGCACAACATGTCACAATCTAGCAGAAGGCCTACCGCGGAGCTTCTCAGTTGATTGCTACGGTGCCGGCCTCAGGCATTGCCCGCCATGACCGCCATGACCGCCATGACCACCACTCCCCTAGCGTCTTCGCTTCTCCTCAGAGCTCAGAGATTTTCTTTGGAACTTTCGAGAGCTTGTCAAGCAATCGCAATTGTACGCCAGCAATCTACACAACACAATACTGCTTCGCAGCCTTCTGGTATGACCCAATCGTCTCCGTCCTTACTAGGGCACTTCCCGACCTATCCGCTTTCCGGAACGACCAAACCACAGCTTAGACTGCGCATGCAATTTCTTTCAAAGACTGACAAACCTCACTTTTAGCCGCGTGTTCACACTCATCTCCGTCCAAACTCTCCCAGAAGCGAAATATGTCGTCCAGCCCTCGATTGAGAAGCTTGAATATTGACAATATCAATCCCCATGTCAAAGAAGCGAAATATGCCGTACGTGGTGAACTGGCGATAAAATCCGAAGAATATCGCGCCCAGCTGAAGAAAGCCGCATCGCAAGACCCTCCTACTCCACCAGACTCGCCTCTTCCTTTTGACAAGGTCATCTCAGCCAATATCGGCAACCCACAACAGCTTGGCCAGAAGCCCATCACATTTTTCCGGCAAGTTCTGTCACTGCTGGAATACCCACCTCTACTAGACAATGAAGAAGCTCTGCGCACCAGCTTTGGCTACAAGCAGGACGTGATAGATCGCGCCAAATGGTTGTTAGAGGAGGTCAATTCTGTCGGAGCGTACTCGCAATCCCAAGGAGTGCCTACGATCCGACAATCTGTCGCGCACTACATCGAGCGACGTGATGGCTACGCCTCCGACCCGGCCCACATCTATCTCTCTGCCGGTGCTTCCTCAGGCGTCAACACCTTGCTGAATGTCATCTCCGCCTCTCCTAAAACCGGCGTCCTTGTCCCTATCCCCCAATACCCCCTCTACACCGCCACGCTCGCCGTCCTAAATGCACGAGTTGTGCCGTACTACCTCGATGAATCCAGAGGCTGGACCACCGACCTCGGCACAATCAAGGAGGCTTACCAAAAAGCAAAAGCCGAAGGCATTGACGTCCGCGCCATCGTGGTCATCAACCCTGGGAATCCCACCGGAGCTAGCCTATCCGCCGACGACGTCGCATCGGTGATCAAATTCGCCGCCGAAGAGAAACTAGTCATCATGGCCGACGAGGTCTACCAGACCAACATTTTCCTCGGCACGTTTACTTCCTTCAAGAAGGGATTGAGGGATCTACAAAACTCCGACTCGACGGGGAAATATGACAACGTGGAGCTCGCCTCTCTAAACTCGATTTCGAAGGGCATGGTAGGCGAATGCGGACACCGAGGTGGCTACTTCGAGCTCGTGGGCTTTGATGCAGAGGTTCAAGCACAGATCTACAAATTCATCAGTATCATGCTCTGTCCGCCCGTAGTGGGCCAGTGTCTCGTGGAGATGATGGTTAATCCACCGAAGGAGGGCGATCCGAGCTATGAGTTGTACAATAAGGAATACAATGGTATCAAAGAAGGCCTACGAGAAAGAGCGTACGCGCTATACGAAGCATTCAAGAAGATGGAGGGCGTGGAGCTCGGTGAGCCGCAGGTAAGTCTACCCTTACCACTCTTCAATAACCATTCCCTGTCTATCTACTTACATTGTGCTTGCGATAGGGATCCATGTATCTCTTCCCAACAATACACCTCCCCACCAAAGCAATCGAAGCAGCAGAAAAAGCAGACCGCAAACCCGATGAGTTCTACTGCCTACGACTCCTCGATAGGACGGGGGTCTGTCTCGTTCCTGGGACTGGGTTTGGACAGAAACCCGGGACGCTGCATTTTAGGACTACGTTCCTCGCACCCGGGACGGAGTGGGTGGGGAGGATTGTAGACTTTCATCGGGAGTTTATGGCGGAGTATGCGTAAGGTGTTTGGATGGAAGAAACTAGCGAAGACGATTTTCGTGGTTGTGGGATGATGTGAAAGTCATGTGATAGGATTGGCCGTGGATGGGTTCTGATGGATCGCCTGGGAAGCAGGAGTCGGAGTGAAGTAGACGGTGCATATAGATGTTGGGCAAACACCACTCAATCAATTCATTGTAGACACCTGGCTTCGCTCAAGGTGCGCTGCAATTTCTACTGTGCTCTAATATGCGTTTCTACCATTTACTCTAGACGATGGAGACGTATAAAAGTCCATCCTGAGGTCTGTTATGGTCTTCTGAATATAAAGACACGATAGGATCAGTCTCTTTACGTATCAGAAAGGATTAAGGGGGGTTATATTCTCCGAGGGCTGGTATTCGAGGACATCAGAATGTGCTGCGAGCGGCAAACAGGATTGATTTTATCTTGGGTCGATATCTGCCTTCGATTAGAACCATGGAATGAGCAAGCATAGTTTGATGGCTTGGTGGGTCTGGGAATGAAAAATGGGAGAAGAGGGACTGGAGCTTGGAATGAAAGCCTCAGATGACCAAGTCCGAAAATGGACCGGCCAGAAGCTCATAGAGCGGATCATGAGCACCGACAAAGATCTGAAAGCTCAGCTTCAATGGCCCTATGAGACATCTGGCGCATGCCTGCAGGCTAGCCGGTGCTCGCTATGGGTACATCCAAACCGAAGAAGACTTGACGGTGTGCAAACTCAGCGATACAAATGGGCGGATGAGTGCATAGATAAGGGCCATCCCCTGGGCCAATTCTGACCCCAACAACCTCACAACAGATCTTGGACCATGGTGGCTGTGTATATTGGCACTCAAGGACCACCAGGAAACGCCCAACGCCGGGGGCACTAGGACGGGTGGCGGTCAGACGCCTATCACTACTCAGACTGCCACCAACCCGAATCCATCGATCAATTGGAATCCAGCGATCAACCCGAACCGCTGGATTTCAAACGACGATACTCTTTCAAACCCCGGAGCCACCAATGCAAACTCGTTTGACATGAATGACCTCCCGCCAAATACCCACCATCAAAACCCTTTCCTCCCTTGACAGGACTTCAATGATTGACAGGAAGAGAAACACCGAAGGAGAGTGAAATGGAGGAGTCGGGGTAGAGAAAGATATTTAAAATACCACACAGGGCGGGAGTTGGTAGTTAGGCAAGCAGCGTTACTGGTTGTGGAAAAAGATCTTTTCTAATCCAAATTGCAAGATTCTTACTATTTCTCCTGTGGAAAGATGAATCCATCCTTATATTCCCAACTGAGAGATGTAGACATCATGATAGCACTTTTCAGTTCTGCAGCTCTCTCGCTGTCACAGTCGTAGTACCATCTCGGCGGGTTGACATCCAGCGCTCTACGAGTTGTCGAAGTCGTTTCCTTCGTTTTTCTCGAGGTACCAACTTTCGTTTTGCTAGTCCGAGACTTGGCTCCCTTCGCTCTTCCCCGACTCCCTAGGTAAGCCTTCGGTCCTGACCTTCTTCCGATCGTTGCTCTCATTACCCTAGTTCCCAAACCAATGTCAGCAGCTCTCCAGTTATACAGTCTAGGGTCGACAAAAGTGTACTACGGTATGAGGCATAAGTATCCCTAGT